ATCCCCTCAACTAGTTTCTGAACTTCTCACAAAGGATATTGATCTGTATTGTCTCTTTGGAATATGAGGCTGGTTGTAAAGGAAAGGTCCAGGGCCTTGTCTTGGCATCTTGATATCCTTATAATCAACTGAATTTCAATGACTATCAAAAACATTCCATGGGGGAAAAATCCTCTTTCTAATAAATGGTACTGGCACAACTGGATAACACATGCAAAAAAAATCAAGTTGGACCCTTAGCTCACATCGTATAAAAATATTAATTGGCAATGATTACAATATCAAAGCATAAAGGCAAAAACTATAGCACTCTTAGAAGAAAACAGAGGAGTAAATTTTCATGTCATTGAATTTGGCAACATATTATTCTTTATAACACCAAAAATATAAGCAGTAAGAGAAAAAAACGTATAAATTGGACATCATCCAAATTAAAGTTTGTGTTTCAAAGAGCATCATCAAAAAATGAAAGACAATGCAGATGAAGTAAAGCAGGTATAAATACATGTCTGATAGGGTACTAGTGCCTAGAATAGATAATGGAGACTGAAAACATTATAAAAAGAAAACAAAATCGAGTTAGAAAATGGGATGCCAAGTACCTGACTGGACATTTCACTAAAAAATATTTTTAAATGGACAGAAATCACATGCAAATATGATAAACGTCATTAGTAACCAGGGAAATGCAAACCAAAACTACAGTGATATAGTATCCACTAAAATAACTAGAATCAAAAAGTGAGAGAGAAACAAGTTAACAGAATAAAAAATATATATAATGCTCATACATTGTTTGTGGAAATGTGAAATAATTGTGGTGCTATGAAAATATTTGGTAGTTCTTGCAATGTTTAAACATGAGTTACCCTGTGATTCAACATTTTCCCTCCTAGATATATACGAAATATTAACTAAAAAAATAGGTCTACAGAAACTTGTACAAAACTGTTTATAGTAACATTATTCGTAATAGACAAATGTGGAAATAACCCAAATGTCTATAAACTAATAATGAGTAAAAAATACATGTGGTATATGGATATAATGGAATATTGTACAATTATGAAAATGAGTAAATTGCTACCATACACTGCAACATGATGAAAGATTAAAACATTATGCCAAGTGAGAGAAGCCAGTTACAGAAGATCACATTCTACATAATTTCATTAACATGAAAATCCATAACAGGAAAACCAAGAGAGACAGAAAGTAAATAAATTGTGGCTTAGAGCAGGGAATCTGAGGGAGAGTGAAATAGGATTAAGAGAAATCATACCTCAATAACAGTTGATTGAAAAGGTAATTGCATAACAGAATATTTATGTATATTTCAAGGCCCAAAACACATAGATTTGTAATGTATTGGGCAATAATAACACAGGCAATGTGGGCACAAATTAAGCTGTAATGAAGTGAGAAATAAATTCAGAGGAAAATCAGAACTAGATATTGTGAATAAGAAAGCAAATATAACTATCTCAATAAATATATACTTTCTCTCCTTCCTTCTCTAAACAAGTAAGATTTATTAATATAATAATTACACAATGCATGCGGATATTGTTATACTGCATTCAAACATCATCCAACTATGGTGTCTACAGGAGATACATACTAGTTTCAAACACAAACATAAGTTAAAAGTAAAAATATAAAATAAAATATACCATGTTAACAGCAACTATAAGAAAGCTACAGTAACTAAGCTAATAAAATTCATAGACTTTAAGTTCAAATCATTAAAAATAAGGAGACATATTTTGTAATAAAAAAGGACAAATCATTTTAAAAGATTGCAAAAATTTTATTTGTAAATATTTAATTGTAAATAATTGTAAATATTGACCATCCTAGTAATGACCTAAATTAGACAAAGAAAAATTGAGAAAATTATATGGAAAATAAGCCATTAACACTAATGATCTGAAGTTTCAATACACCATTTTTAATAATGAGCAGAACAACTAGGCAGAAAATCAACAGACATATATAAGACTTCAAGAAGTCTGCAAGTTAACTAGACCTAACAAACATACATAAAACACTCCATTCAGGAAGATGAGAATATTCTGTTTTCTTAAGAGCTTGTGGAAAAATATTTAAGATGCACCCTGGGTGTGATGTAATTCCTAAAATTAAGAGTCAATATTTTATGCTGCCTTACCTCTGAAACTGACAGGACTGTGAATGATCTAACTTCAAGTTCTACTCCACAATCTTCTACAGATGAAGTAGGCATACAATCCTCCTTATAAAGAGGACTAGGTAAGGTTTCTACCTACTCTAAAAGAGTGATTTTCAGTTCAATTCTTTGTCAGCCCATGAAATGTTTTAAACAAGCCAATCACACCCCCATGTAAAAACGAGGGATTATTTACCCTCTTGGTACTGTAAAGCCTGCCTTCTACAGATCCTTGTGGTTTACTTTGTTCCCAAGTGAAATCCTGATGTGCCCCAACATAGTGTTCAGTGACTTGTCCCCGAGACTCTGAGTATACATTACTAACAAAATGTCGTTCATCTCTGACCAGTGTTGGAAGTTATGCATTTGGTCGGTGTCATAAGGCCAGAGTGAGAATTCTGCCCTCACTAACAGGATGAATAATTGTTAATTAAAAATTAAAATGACTGGTGTCACAAAAGAGATGTTCAAACCTTGACTGAGGACACTTCTTAACTCACCCCATAAGCCAGGTATTATCCTGATACCAAAGCTAGACAGGCATTTCAAGAAAAGAAATGTCCTTTAAATGTCTCTTATGAATCAAGATGCAAAAATACACAACAAAATGCTAGCCAAACAAATCTAGCCAAATATATAAAAGATTATACCACTTGTCCAAGAAAAATTTATCACAGAAATTCAATATTTATTTAACATTTGATATGGTTTGACTTTGTATTCCCAACCAAATCTCATCTTGAATTATAATCCCCACATGATGAGGGAGGGAGGTGATTGGCTAATGGGGAAGTTTCTCCCTTGCTATTCTCATGATAGTCAGTGAATTCTCACAAGATCTGATGGTTTTTAAAGTGGGAGTTTTTTCCTGTACTCTCACTTCTCTCTACCTGTCACCATGTAAGATGGGCCCACTTCCCCATCTGCCATGATTATAAATTTCCTGAGGCCTCCTCAGCCATACAGAACTTTGAGTCAATTAAACGTCCTTTCTTTGTAAATTACCCAGGCTCAGGTATTTCTTTATAGCAGTGTGAGAACAAACTAATACAGTAAATTGGTACCAGGAATAAGACATTGCTATCAAGATACTTGAAAATGTGGAAGCAACTTTGGAACTGAGTAACAGGCAGAGGCTGGAATAGTTCAGAGAGTTCAGAAGAAGAGAGAAAGTTGTGAGAAAGTTAAGAACTTCCTAGAGACTTGTTGAATGGCTTTGTCCAAAATGCTGATAATGATGTGGACAATGAAGTCTGGGCTAAGGTGGCCTCAGAATGAGATGAGGAACTTTTTGGAAACTGGAGCAAAGATCACTCATGCTATGCTTTAGCAAACAGACTGGTGGCATTTTGCTTCTGCCCTAAAGATCTGTGAAACTTTGAACTTGAGAGAGATGATCTGAAATTGGAACTTATGTTTAAAAAGGAAGCAGAGCATAAAAGTTTGGAAAGTTTGCAGCATGAGGATGAATTACAAAAGAAAAACCCATTTTCTGGGGAGGAATTCAAGCTGACTGCAGAAATATGGGTAAGTAATGAAGAGCCAAACGTTAATAGCCAAGACAATGAGGAAAATGGCTCCAGGTCATATCAGAGATCTTGTCAGTAACCCCTCCCATCACAGGCCTGAGGGCCTAGGAGGAAGAATGGTTTCATGGGCAGGGCCCAGGGACCCCGCTGCTCTATGCAGCCTTGGGACATGGTGACTTGTGTCCCAACTGCTTCAGCTCCACTTTTGGCTAAAATGGGCCAAGGTACACCTAGGACCATTGTTTCAGAGGGTGCACACCCCAAACCTTTGTGGCTTCCACATGGTGTTGGGCCTGCAGGTCCAAAGAAGTCAAGAACTGAGTTTTGAGAAACACTGCCTAGATTTCAGAGGATGTGTGGAAATGCCTGGATGGATGTCCAGGCATTTTGGCATGTTGGCATGATTGGTTTTGAAATATAAAAAGGACATGAGATTTTGGAGAGGCCAGATATGGAATGATATGATTTGGTTCTGTGTCTCCACCTGAAACTCATCTCGAATTGTAATCTCCATGTGTCGAGGGAGGGACCTGTCACCCCCACTTGTTGAGGGAGGAAGGTGATTGAATCATGGGGATGGTTCACTCATGTGGTTCTTGTGATAGTGAATGAATTCTCATGAGATCTGATGGTTTTAAAAGTGGCAGTTTTTTCCTGTGCTCTGACTTCTCTCTTGCCTGCCACCATGTAAGATGTGACTGCTTCCCTTTCCACCATGATAGTAAGTTTCCTGAGACCTCCTCAGCCATGTGGAACTGTGAGTTAATTAAACCTCCTTTATTATTATTATTATTATTGTTATTATTATTATTATTTTGAGACGATGTCTTGCTCTATCACCAAGGCTGTGGTGGAGTGGTGTGATCTTGGCTTACTGCAATCTCCACCTCCCATGTTCCTGTGATTTTACTGCCTTGGCTTCCTGAGTACCTGGGATTATAGGCATGCATGAACATGCCCGCCCAATTTTTGTTTTTTTGTTTTTTTGTTTTTGTTTTTGTATTTTTAGTAGTTATGGGGTTTCACCATGTTGGCCAGGCTGGTCTCAAACTCCTGACCTCAGGTGATCCACCCGTCTCAGCCTCCCAAAGTGCTGGGATTACAGGAGTGAGCCACTGAGCCCGGCCTAAACCTCCTGTCTTTATAAATTACCCAGGCTCAGGTATTTCTTTATAGCACTGTGAGAATTAACTAATACAACATTCAACAATACATTAATGCATTACAACATATTCATTGAATAAATGGCAAAAAAAATCAATCATTTTAATAGACACAGAAAACTTTTAATAAAATCAATACTATTTAATGTTAAAAACGTGCATTAATCTAGGGATAAAGGATACAAAATTTCTCAACCCAGTAAAGACATCTAAAAGAGAAAGCAAACAAAAACCAAAAGCTCATATGAAACTAAGTGGTGAAAGACTAAATGCTGAGAAATGGAGCAAAGCAGAGATGTTCATCTTGCTACTTCTGTTTAAGTTTTTATAAGATGTTGTATCCAGGGTAATTAGACAAAAAGAAAAAGAAAAAAAATAGAAAAAAGTAGGAAAGAAAATAAAAGGACAGGAAGAAAGAAGAAAGAAAAGAAAGAAGAAGAGAGGTAGGAATAAAGAGAAGAAGAGAGGAAGAAAAAAAAGAAAGAAAAGGCATTTAACTTAGAAAGCCTAAATTCAAACTATTTCTTTGCCAAGATGATATGAAATTGTACATGGAATATCACTATTATCTTCTCATAATTTAATGTTTTTATATTATATTTACATTTTTAATTTTTAAGGTTGAGATATGAGATGAAGACCCTGATTATCATTCTATAAGCCATTATCTTACATAAATATATGGAGAAAATCCTACATTTCAGAGCTCTGCCTTGAGAAAATGTGCTGCCTTGTACCTTGATATTAAAACCTTCCCTATAGTCCAGCAAGCATATATAAAAATTTAATAGAATTAGTATGCTTGTTGTTGTACTAATTAAATCAAAATTATTTTTCAGTATATGAGAGATATATAAATTCATTATTTCTAAAGGTATGATTTTTGCCACTTAGGGATATTTAATTATTTAACACTACATAAAGATATCTAATATCAACTTTATTGTATATTCAATATGTATATATGAATATTTCTCTTTATGCTAGCGTGTATTGAAACTTTGTTTCAATATTTAGAACTCCCTTCAGCATTTCATGGAAGGCTGACCCAGTTGTGACAAATTCCCTCAGCATTTTTGCTCGTCTGGGAAAGATTTTATTTCTCCCTTATTTATGAAATTTTGTTTGCTGTGGAAAAACTCTTGGTATGTTGGCATGTGGACACTTATTCTATTTGAGGAGACTAAAGATAGGATGCTAATATTTTCTGGATTGTTAGGTTTCTGCTGAGAAGTCAGCTGTTAGTCTGATAAGTTTCCCTTTGTAAGTTATTTGATGCTTTTATTTTGGTGCTTTTGTAATTTTTTTCCTTCACATCAACTTTAGATAGCTTTACGATATACACCTTGGTGATTTCCTTTTTGCAATGAATCTCTCAGGAATTCTTTGAACTTCTTCAATTTGGGTGTCTAAATCTCTAGAAACATCAGGAAATTTTTCCTAAAAGAGGTTTTTCAATTTTTCAAACTTTTGTCCTTTTTTTTTTAAACTTAGGACACATATGCTTCTTAGGTTTGAATGTTTTATATAATTCTATATTTCTTGGATACTTTGTTTTTTAATTTTTTCATGTTTTTTGGTAATTATTATTAGCCCTGATTGGTTGAATTCAAAGGCTTGCATTCAAGCTCTGAAATTATTTCTGCTATTTGGTCTAATGTATTGACAAAAACTTTTTACTGCATTTCGTAATTTTCTAAATGTAATTTTCCTTCTGGGGTGCTTTTTGTCTTCTTAAAAATATCTATCTCTTTGGAAAATTTTTCATTTATATTTTGAATTGTTTTATTTGATTTCTTTATGTTGGTTTTCAGATTTTTCTGCAATCTTACCAAGCAACTTAATAATCAGCATTTTAAATTCTTTAACTGCTATTTCAAAGATTTCATTGTGGTTAGGTGACACTGCTGGAGAGCTAATATGATCTTTTGAGGATGTTATAGAATTCTGCTTTTTTTATACTGCCAGAATTATTTTTATGGTTCTTTCTCATTTGGGTCAACCATTTCTTCTTCTTATTCTTGGAATTATGTTTAATTCAACTTGATTTTTAAATTTTTTCCCTTGTGAGCATATAACTTTAATGTGTTTATTTTATGGTTACCTAGCTTTGGCTCTGGGTGCTTTCAGTGGCAAAGACTCTGCATGAGTTCCCTTGTTATAGAGAATCTTTGTGTTATGGCTTTCTCAGATGCTGGTTGTGGTAGCAATGTGCTGGCTGTGTGAGCAGGTTTGTTGTCTCCTGTGGGGCTTGAATGAGAGAGGGCTCATGAATCTCATTTTGTTCTGGTAGCAATGTACACTTTTTAATTATTTTTCCATTATCATGATTATTATTATTATTTTACTGTAGCGTACAGTTCAGGCTTCAGGCCAGTAGGAGTTTCCCAAGAGTAAAATCTGGCTGTGGCTGAATTATGTGTGTATGAGCAATTCCCTAATGGTGGGCAGAGGTCCCAACCTTGAAAGAGGTGGCTAAGGGAACTCTCAGTGAAAAGCAATGAGCTCCTCATAGGGGCAAAAGAGAGAGCCTCCTTAGCCCCACTTCCAGACCAGCAGAAAAAGGGTCTGTCTCCTTCTCACACACAAATCCTAGTGTTCTGGCTATTCAGATCAGACAGACACCTCTTCCCAACCACAGGAATGCTGATGTTCCATGTAAAAAAGGGTTGTGACTCTACCCCTCATGCAAGTCTGAGTCCAGAGGGCACTTCCCCTGTGGGATGCAGTCTCCCTAATGTGGTCCAGAAAAGCTGTCTACAGGTAAATCTGTCCTGAGCTACCATGGGAGAAGCCTCAGCTGTGTTGGCGGTGAAAGGTGGTGGGGAGAAGAAGTCCCCTTTTTCAGTAATCTTCAGAAGTCTGTTGGGTAGAATATCAGGTTTTCTCCACTGAGCCCAGCACTGTACCTGTGCCTCTGCTCAAAGAAACTTTCCACAAGTGGAAAGATCTGGGACTCAAGTCCTACAATCTGGTTTCTTGTGTCCCATTGGGTGCTCCCTGGATGTGCTGCACTCTGCCTTCCTCTAGGAGTGGCAGTTCTTGGGGGCCAGACTACTGTGAATTCTGCTGCTTCTCTGAGTTTAGTTGCCCTTTGGGGCTGCCAAAATCCAGGCTCGGCTGGGGACTGTCTACAAGAGATCCAGTGTTGTGAAGATACACAAGTTGTGAAGATGCACAGGTCTGTCCAGGTTGAAGGTCTATGGACAGAAGAAGTCCCACAATGGGTGTGCAACTAGTATGGTGCTTGTCACTACAGCTCAGGTCCAGTGGGTAAAGGAAGAGACCTTGTGTAAACAAGATAATGCCCTTGAGAAGTCCCCAAATTACAGCTCAGTCCAATACTTGTGCTCTTGAAGGCAAAGAAGCTCTCATTGAGCTTGGACATCAATAATCTACTGTAGGGGATAGGGAGGCTGAGCGTATTCCTACTTACAATGTTCATGGTTTTCTGAGTATCTCAGAGTTTGATATCTGCCAGTTTATTGTTACCTTCTTTTTGTGTGTGTCTCACAGATTTTTCCAGTGAACTCTCCAGTGGGCACCAGCACTCTCCCCTTAACACTTTATTTGCACTATGATTATTCACCTGTAATTTTGGTTCTACTTTCTGAGAAGAATTGGTCACTGATATTTCTTGTCAGCCATCTCAAGCTCTCTGGTGCCTCAGGCTATGGACAAGTCTGGTATTTGCAATGGCTGGGGCTCTGCTCTTAGCTCGAGAGGGGGGTGATATTGTGTGAAGCTAGACTAAGCTAACCTATCCTCTGGTCTCCCAGCATTAGACTGAAGCACCAACTCTGATGAGAATGGAAGGGGAGTGACATAGACTCTAAGATTTCCTACGTTATCAGTAGCCTTAGTGTGGTAGCTTTCTCAAATGCCAGCTGTAGTAGTAATGTACAGGGCATGTGGACAGGTTTATGACCTCCTAACTAGCTGAGATGATGTGGGCAATGTTGTAAGCTGAAGTTGCACAAGTGTTTTGACTGTTGTTGTTTTTTCTTCACAAGCACTGTGTTACTGTGGCAGCAGATGTTCTAATGGGTCATGCCAGTTGGTCTCCAGCCAGGAGGTGACACTTGCAGGACAGAGTAAGTTGTGTTGGTGGTTGTGGGATTTGTGCTTTGCTTATGTTACCTAGGAGAGATACTCAGATGTCTCAGGCAATGGGCAGGGCCATGGAATTGGTAAATATCTTTTTGTTTTGTTACTCTACCAGAGGAGGTGGAGGAACAAACATGGATAGGGGTTGGGTCAAGCAAGTCCATACTCTGGGCTCCCCATGGGCAGGCACCATTGGCGGCCCCAATAGGAACCAGAGGGCAGTCCCCTAGTTACTGGTGTAATGTTCTGGGGAGGAGCACAGCTGCCTCTGTTGCACATAAGTTTCTGCATGGGGAGATGGGGTAGCATGTGGTAGTAAGACCCATCCAGTTCCCACACCCTTGGCCAGGCACACCTTACACATACAGACTTCTGCTGACAACAGTTTTCTGGGTCCCAGGGCAATGTACACTCAGAACATACAATTATCCCAGGCCACAATTCTTGCTACTAAAGACAGAAACCGAAGCTTTGCAGCCATGCCACTCCTCATTTTCCTATGAAACAGGTATGCCCAGCTCCTGCACCTGTGGTAAAAGCACACTTCCCACTCATCCCTCAGTTTTGGCCAAGGAGTTTGTTCTCACTTGAGATCAGATTGCAAACCTAGATTGGGAGACATTAGAAAGTTCAAACCTGTGACCACCACCTGAGTTAGCTGGCAGACATCTCCCAAGTCGAGTAAGAGGTAGGATCAGGAATGGCTTCCTTCCATCCCTGCTGGGTTCTGAGAGTGCATGCAAAGCAAGTCCTGATGCTGCTCCTTCTCATATACTCTCCACCCCTCACCAGATCAGCTCCAGTGCTGGGTAGGGTTAAGGCACTCCACTGTGGCCTGGATTGCCCAGCTCCCCCATAGGAGATGTGTATCACAGAGGCAGTCTCCCCCACTTTCACTTTCTGAAGACACAGTTTTCCACTTGGCTCACAGTGCAGGTTGCTGATCACCATTTCTCTCCAAGAGTCTGTGATTCCTTTCTCTTTTTCTGTTGAGTTCCTATATTTCTTCTTGGTTAAAAGTTCATAGCATGAATTCATGAATTTCTACACAATCTTTTGCTCTGTCCAAGTGGATGAGCCATGCTAATGAAGCCTTCAATCCACCACCTTGGAAAACACAAAGAGTTAAAAAATATTTAAGTGAGCATCTGGACTTTTGATTAAGCATAATTCTCACTGGCTGAGAGGTAAAGAGAAACTGACTACCACCGGTATGGTACCCCAAAACGTGAGACTTGATTTGTGGATGGCAGGGCTTCCTTCACGCCAAGGTTAGCAATGTACCTTAGACTCAGTACATAAAAATAAAGTAACATCACAAATTAGTTCAGGTGCATACTCTTTCATGTCTGTTATATTGATTGACTATGCCTATAGCTCAACAAATACAGTACAGTTTTCCCAAATTCTGCACCAAAGCTGGATTTTTCTAAATGCTAAGCATATTTTCGGACTAAAAGTCATATCATTTTTGCCTCACCTTGGATGCTGGATAAATTTTAGGCACCAGATCTTTCTCCTGAAGATTCTGATTCATGAAGACATGGCGGATCTTAAGTATCTATACTTTTTATAGGCACTAAATGCAAGTTTTAAGAAACATTGTTGTAAGTAACATTGCCTGTATTATACATGTTGGTGATCCCATCATGCAATCACAATAGTCAAAGTCAATTTAGTGAAGTAAATACCATGGAACACGTTTATTCAGCAAAGTATTCAATGATTGAGAAATGTGCTTCATCATTTAAACATATAATTAGACTACTGATTTTTCAGAGCTTTATCAAATATTTGGACATCAACAAAGAACTAACATTAAATTTTGAAATTGCAAGAATATTCCAATTCTTATAGTCTATCCTGTTTCCAAAGCAGATTCACCTCCTTGTGTAGGAAGGCACTGTGTAATAGCATTCTCTAGAATCCAGCAGCAGAAAAGGATTATGAGAGGAGTCATAGGAATGTATAGCACCAGATCATAAAGGTCAACATGGGCCCCAGTGGTCATAAGTAATTTCACCGTTACTTTCTCTGTAGAAAGGGAGAGAGAAAACAAAACAAAACATAACAAAATGTGTCAGATTCCCTCATGGTGTCCAAAATGCTTCTCAGTGACTTAGAATTTGAAAAGTACATGAGTTGGACAGCCTGGATTGTACTTCTTCAACATCTATACTCTGCGATTCCCCAGACCCTTCACATATTGTTTGTCCTGTTGTGGGGCTATTTTGTCAGTCCTGATTCAGTAAGGTGACCCATGCTGAGTTGAGGAAGGAGAGAATGAGAAGGAAACCGTTTAACCCTTACGTCTCCCACTTTACAGCATATTGATCCAGTTCTGGTTATTATAAAAGATCCTATTCTGTAATCCCAGCACTTTGGAAGGCCTAGGAGATTTCTTGAGCCCAGCAGTTCAAGACTAGCGTATACCATACAGTGAGAGCTTTGTCTCTACCAAGAAAAAAAAAAATTAGCTGTCTGTGATGGCAGCACCTGTAGTCCCAGCTCCTGGGGAGGCTGAGATGGGAGAACTGCTTAAATCTGGGAGGTTGAGGCTGCAGCAACAATAGTTGTGCCAGTGAATTCCAGCCTGGGCAACAGAGTGGGAGACTGTCTCAAAAAATAATATAAAAATTAAAAAAGATATTTTATCAAATTAAGTATGATAAACTAGTTTGAGTATTTGAAAACAAGCCAGCATCATTATGTACATAGTTCAAGTTAACCTACTTTGGGAAGTAGGGGGATCTTGGGTAAAGTTTGAGTGTTTTCTCAAGTTTCAGTGGGAAAAAAAAGCTGTTTACTGAGTATATGATTGTAGGTTGAGAGGAACTCAGTAATTCCTAGCATATTGACACTGTTTTTTCTATACAAAGAGAAAATATTTACCATTGTGCCCTTACCTTTCTGCAATGCAAAACAGGCATGAGTTATCATAGGTTTTACCACTGGATCCACAGATAGAAGGAAATTTCCTGGTGTAATCAAGTGCTGGGTCTTTGTATATGTCACAGTTTGGCTACAAAATCCAGAGACAAAAAAGTAAACAGAGAGTACACATCTAAAAAATATTCTTAACATTTTCATAACTTTTGTTTCTCTATCAATGGGTCTCCTCAAAATCCATTCCACTTCCATCTCAGAAGTAAACATTAAACAAAATTTTTAATTTATAATTCAGTTGCTTTTCTAATACTTTCACCATACATGTAGTTATTCTGAAAATTATGTGTTAATTAATTTTAGAAGTTTTTGAAATGTAAATGCATAAATATTATAACTTTCTGGTTTTCTAAAAATATTTTTGCAAGTATAGATTACTTTCATTGAAAGCTTATATAATTACTTATTAAAATAATATATTTTCTCATCCTTAACACATTAATATGGTAAATCATTATATACTAATTTGAGTATATATTTTACTAACAATAGTAAACTTAGTAAAATAAACTTTCTTATAAAATTAAATAAACTTTGTTATATTTTGTCAACATTTTTATACATTGCTGTATTGTGTGTGCTAAAATTTTATTTAATATTTTTGAATCTATGTTAATACTGACATTTTTATCCATTGGTAAAATTGAAAGGTTGACAGTGAATTCAATTGCATAAATTTATAGATAATTGATCTTTCTTTCAAGGTACTCTTAAGAGCACCTCTTTGAATTCATTGGTTAGTTGTTTTGTTACAATAGGTTTAAATGTGGATTCTTATATAATGTTTTTGTGGTTAGAATGCATTGAAACCCTTAAATTATTCATGATAGCCAAAAAGTAGAAGCAATCAAATGTTCTTCAACTGATGAATGGATAAATAAACATGCAATATCATCCATCAATGGCATTCATGGATAAAAAGAAATGAAGTACTGATTAATGCTACAAAATGTATGACTCTTTAAAACATTATACTATGTTAGAGAAACCAACCACACATATTGTACAATTCTATTTCATATGAAACGTTTAGAAAAGGTAAATCCATAGATACAGGAATTGCATTAGCAATTCCCTGGAGTGAGAGGTCCCGAAATGGCGACCAACAGTAAATGAGCATTTGGAATCTAATAACAGTAACAAAAATGTTATAAACCTGAACTAGAGTGACAATTTTACTATTTGATAAATTTTTAAGACATTAAATTATTTATTTTAATTGGGTTAATTATGATATATATCACAGTAAATTTATTCATAAAAATGTATACTGATAGTACAAATGTAAATAAAATCAAATTTACTTAACTTCCAAGCTGCCCAGAGGTAATGAGGGCCACCTAAATCTCTCTATGAGTCCTCCAGACCTATATTAAGTATCAAGAAAAACTAATAAAATTGCATAAATCGCTTGTATTCGACATAATTTGAAGACAGAATAAAATTACTCATTTCCCATTAACTGTACATATAAAAATGAGCATCAAATTTTGGAAGAGTCACTACTTAACGTCCTAGTGCAAGCAAGCTTCTTACAGAGAACAGAAGGTGAAGGAATGAGCTTGAATGAAGGCCACAGAAAGAAAAAAGAAAACCTACAAAAACCACAAAAGAGAGAAGTGGGAAACTGAAAACACAATTCAGGTAAAATCTGGGGAAAGTCTATAATTCATACGAAAAAATATAAAAGAGACTTGGTAGGCAAGAACATGTTTAGCATGAAATATATTAAAAGTAAATGAGATTCAAAATGGAGGTCTCAGAAAGGCATCACCTCTCCATGAGGAAAAGTAAAAAAGAAAAAAAAAAAGGAGGGGGAGTACAGAGAGCAGAGAAAGGCATCCTTCAGAAACAGTGTGGAAAAAGTACAACGAAGCACATAGAGGACCTTTAGAATAAATGCAATACAATAAAGAACTAGAGTAAAAGGATAACACCACACACACACACACAGACCCCTCGCATTACTCCAGTGAAGTAACTACAATTTGCTTTAGTGACTGAAAAGGACACTCTTTCAGTATGAACCTTGTAAACCAAGCCACACTGACAGCTACTGTTTCTACAAAAATGTAAGAAAAAAATGCCGTCTTCATATAAAAATACCTACAACTCTTACAAGAAGAAAACAAATAAGCAGCAAAATTGGGAATCACACAGCTTCACCTGAAACTTCCTGGCCTTGGAAATAGAAAATCACAGTAAAATGATAATTTAATGAAACACCTAAAACAAAATCAATTAAATAATCTCCAGAAATCATTTGCAGATGTGAAAACAAACCCCCTGTATCTGAAGTCGAACTCCAGAACAAAAATTGGTATCTTCAAAAATGTGTGAAATAACACTTGATTGAAAATAGAACAAAATCAAAGTTAATGCAAACATATTTCAGAAATAAATATTAAATTGAAAGGTGCCCAATGAAGGATAGGTTTCAATAAACATTCAGGCAAAAGAAAAGTGAATATTAGGCCTTATTTTAGCATTTTAGTAATGAATGCACTTTAGCCAAATGAGAGATTATTGGACAATGTTTGTGAAAGGAACGATTGTTAAGTATTTAACATATTTAGTTTTATTTAATATAAAACACAGATAGATAAGATGTAGAAGAATGTAGAAAATTTCATACGTTCTAAAAATTTTAAAACATGAAATTTACCCAAACAAGAAGAGAAAGATAGATTATAAAGAGGTTGCTGCTTTTCTATAGGGAATAGGTAAAAGGGAAGTATTTCCATGAAACCGAGACAAACCAGACATAATAAATAAATAAATAAATAAATAAATAAATAAATATTTTTTAAAACAAAGAACTGCTTTAATTTAAAAAGTAAAATGAAACTTTTCTAAATGTGGAAGGATTTATAGAGCACCAAAACAAAGAAATCACATAGACTAGAGATAACAATAACATAGCATAATAAACATAGTGATTTTAACAATACGTTATATAACATTATGGAGACTACATTTATCTGTTATCTTAATAAGCATGAGTGGAACATACTCACCAATTAAATTAAATAGATTTTCAATCTGACACACATAGCAAGACCCACTGTACGCTATATATGTAATATGCACCCAACTCTAAGTGAATGAAAAGCTTACAAATAGAAAAATATGCAAATGTATGCCAAGCATAAGGATAAAATTAGAAATCATGTACTGTTCTTCCAGTATCAAAGAAAGTATAGTTCAAGTCAAATGTCATTAAATATGACATGAAATGATACTTTGTAATGGTAGAAGCTACAATTCACAAGAAAAATAAGACAGTTCTGAATATCTATTACAAAGCTAAGAAGGCATATCTATGACACAAAAACTAAAAAAGATGACAGAAATAGATAAAAACAGAATAGTAATAAGAGATTTCAACATTCCACCTATGGTGAAAGACAGATCAGTACATAAATAACAGATTAGAATACAGATTTAAACATATAATCATAAGTAGTTTTATGAATATATCAAGTGATATACTCTGATAATAAGCATACATCTTCTCAGGTACACATTGGATGTACACAAAAATTGTTCTATATTAGATCACAAAAAAACATCAGTAAGCTCCACTGGGTAAGTGTAATATAAGCAAAATTCTAATCACAATTGCATAAAATTAAAAATTAGTATCAACATGAAAAAGTCCATCACACCGAGAAATAAATACAAATATTATAAACAATACTTGGAATTTTTCAAAAAGTGATAAAATTAGATTATTCACAAAATATAATGAAAATGATAATGATCTTTATTAGAATCAATCTGATGCATTTTAAGCAGTGAACAAAAAAGAAACCTCATAGCATTAACCACGTGTCTCAACAAAAATAGAACAGAATAAAAATAGAATTAAAATTGCCATTAAAAAGCTAGAAATGAATAATGAAACAACAGAGGGTATAAAGATAACTACAAAATAAAGCCACAATTGAATACAGTAGATTTCATTAAGTGTAGTTGATAATCCAGGGTTTTTGAAAAAATAACAAAATAAAGAAACTAAAATAATTAAGAAAAATGTGAGAGACATAACAATGCAGTGTATAATAGGAACAGTTATTGAAATGCAGAAAATTGAAATACTACAAAAGACTAATTTGCAGAACTCATTACAAATAAACTTGAAATTCCAAAAGAAACAAACAAGCTTTTACAGAAACACAATCTGTCCAACTTCACCCCCTGAGATGTAAAAAACTTGCGAAGACTAGTTTCTTTCTCTTGTCAAATGTTCCAACATTTATTAAGGGAAAAACCACACAGAAAAGAACAAAGTCCCAATGGATTTCAAAAAAGTTCAGCTCTCAAAATTAGACAGCCCTCTATGTTATATAAACTGCTTCAGGGAATACAAAAATCCAAGGAAATGTTCATGTTTTAATGAAGCAAGTAAAATATACATACCTAAACTTGAGAAAAAGAATACATGATAGTCAATTTGCAGGCTGATATCACACATGTGAACAAATAAAATATTACTGAACAGAATCAAAAATAAATGTTTTATAAGTAAGCGATGTCCACATGGGATTTACCATCATTAAAGTTTGATTCAATACTAGAAATTCACTCATTATTACATATTAATAGTTGCTAAGAAAAAATTACATAATTATCTTTATAAGGGCTGTAAAAGCATTTGAAAAACTAAATATAACTTTCAAACAAAAATATTTAAGAATACAGCATTTACTTAATTTCCAGTCACATACATACAGATAGTCTCACACACACGTATCTCTTCTTATGTCATTTACTTAACAATTTCCAGTCACACACATACAGATAGTCTCACCCACACACACACACACACACACACATATATCTTCTTATGTCAGCACCTTACTAGAAGCATTTTTGCTAAATAGAAAAAAAAAAGAGCAAGGATGTTCATATCTCTAGTGTTATTTACTATTGTTTAGCTATTAGCCAGTGTATTAAACAACATAATTCAACTAGAGGCATAAAAAAGAAAAAAAATAAAATTGCTAATTGCATCTGTTTGCAGATACTATTACGGTGCAACAGGGAGATATGAGGAATCATTTAAAATGAACTTAAATGGTGAAAGAATATAGGACTTTAATAGAATATAAAGTTAACATACATGACTTGATTACTTCTATATATATAAACCTAGTCTGTTGGAAAGTATAATTAATGCTAGAGAAAGCCTCTTTAAAATTACATCAAAGACAAAACAGGAATACAATTAACGAGTGATGTGCAATTTTAAATAAAGAATAATTGCTGTGATTTGCAAGATGACCGACTAGATGCAACCAGATGGAACAGCTGCCACCGAGGGACCAGGATGACTAACACACTCCTAACAGATCTTCAGGAGGAAGGCACTGAGAG